TTCATCCACCAAGGTCAGCCTTAAAATACTCATTTAACTGCATGTGTGGAGTAGTGCACAAAGCACTGCAGGAACTAAAGCAAAGGGCCAACGTGAAGGCACTGCCAAACAGAACACATTTTTAGTCATGTTACTTGTATCTGAGATGAAAACTTGTAATGGTCTTCTTATGACCACACTCAAAGGAAAATTTCCTGCAGGACAGCTATCTATTTTTAAAGAATAATACACAAGGCCTGTGTTTCCCAGCATGTAAAGATGTTTTCAGGCCCTGTTATCACCCACATGGCCTTGCTGAGGGGCCCATATCACATGAAAAACCAACTCCAGCCTTTATGAAATAGTGAACTGTCCCACTTGTCTCTGTCCTGGAGTTAATCACCTTCCAATTCAGTATATACTTATTTACTTAGTGCCTTTGGTGATTAAAGAACGTAAATTTGGAACTTCCAGTGACTTCCCAAGCTCAGTTTTAAAATGTGCCTTTAAGACATGGTAGCAGGACACCAAAGATCTTTTACAGAGCCAGGAAATTCTATAGTGTGATTCATTTGCATGTTGGAAAACTACTGGGAAGAAAGAAACTACTCTGAGAGAGGTTTCATTCTACACTATCATTAGTGTTGAGAATAACATACCAGAGAGATGAATGGAATGTTAATGACAAGACACTTATGCATTAAATACTTTGGGGTTGGGGAACATTGGAGAGAATGTCAGAGATGATCTCTGGAATCATCCCTTCAGCATTTTGGGGCTTTTATTACAGTCTCCAGGTTCAAATGTTTCTCTCATTTCTACACTTTGCAGGAATTCCAGTGTAAATACAAAAAAAAAAGAGGGAGAAAAAAAAAAGGTTAATTGTCCTCAGGTCAAAGCTATAAAACTAGGTTTGTGTTATGCTGCATGAGTTACTGTGGGGAATTTATTGGGTGACATACACGTAGATTAATACAGCATTTTAATAATACCTTGTGTTTATACAGTGCTTCTTGAAGTAGAATAATGACTTATTATTGAGTTCCTTCTGTTCTGCAAAACCTTCAAGCATTTCTAAACTGTGAGCAGAGGTTAGATCTAAGGATGAGCCAGTCTAAGCCATTAAAACAAAACAGATCAACTGTTACTTCTTTTTTGAAGGAAGGTGTTCTTCCCTGAGGGATTTCAGGGCACCAAAATCAAAAGAGTTCACAGAAAAAAACCCACAAAAAGCAAGTTTTGATAAACTTCCCTAACTCAGAAAGTTTTGATGTGACCACAGGTGGGACACGTGAACACTTTCTGTGTGAAAGATCCTGTTCTTGTGATTGAAGTCTGAGGTAAAATAGAAAATATTAGACATCTGGGATGAAACCACCATGAAATTAACTTTGAATTATTTTTTTTTTCAGCAAACTGAAAATATTTTTTGTTTGGTTGGTTTCTCTCTTCCAGATTTCAGACTGGCTTTTCCTAAACATCTCTATAGTTTTTTGCTACTTCTAGCAAAGATTTCTTGTCCATTTCATGCCCTGCTGAAATAAGTAAATGAATAAATAAAGAGTTACACCTCTCACCTGGGTTCTGGAAGTCCAGACATCACTTCATCACTTCTCAGAGGGGTTTTGGAAGTCCAAACGTGACATGTTTGCTGCAGAAACGTGCCTGCCTCTGGGACTTAGGACAAGAATCACCTGGCATTAACCAGTGTGTAGGGCAGGAATAAAGCCTCACCCCACTAAAAACAAACTGATGTGCTGGAGGGAGATAATTCTGCCAGGAAAACAACGTTTTTGCAATCCCCACTTGGGAGAAACAGAGATTGAAAAGGTGTGGGTGGGTTTGGGTTTTGCCCACAGGGCCTGGCATGGAGGCCGCATTTCCCACCCCAACTTTCTTGCTGCTGCTGAAACCCCCAGGAAACCCATGACAGGAAGGGCAAGACTTTTACTACTGGGCTACAAAACTAGGAGGTTCAAAAAGCCTGTGGGCTTCCAGTGCCCTCTGTTGGCTCCCGGCTTGGGGATGCTGTGGCCGCCGTGTGACAGGGACTGTGTCTCCATCTTTTGGAACTGGAGGGAAAAATTCTGCCCTCGGTCGCTGTGGGTCTGTGGTGAACTCTTGGGGCAAATCTATCGTTTCCTTTCATGTCTTTTTGTTTAATCTGTGGTGATAAAGGAAGATGATTAGCCCGATGGCAGAGATAGACTTTAAAGTAGTAGATATGCTAGTAGTTCATAGAGCCATGGGATGGTTTGGGTGTGAAGGGACCTTAAAGATCATTTAAATCCAACCCCCCTGCATGGGCAGGGACACCTCCCACCAGCCCAGGCTGCTCCAAGCCCCATCCATCCTGCCCTTCAACACTGCCAGGGATGGGGCAGCCCCAGCTTCCCTGGGCAACCTGGGCCAGGCTCTCACCACCCTCACAACACAGAATTTCCTCCTAAAGTTTCACCTAAATCTCCCTCTTCAAGTTTTCATCCATCCCCCTTGTCCTCTCCCTCCCTGCCCTTGTCCCAAGCCCCTCCCCAGCTTTCCTGGAGCCCCTTCAGGCACTGGAAGCTTCTCTAAGGTCTCCCTGGAGCCTTTTCTTCTCCAGGCTGAACACTCCAACTCTCCCAGCCTGTTGCTCTAAATCAGAACCCAATATATTTCCTTGATCTATTTACTTATTAACTTAAATCTTGGATAATCAAACTGCATCCATAGCCTTTCGCAAGTTTTATCTCAGCTGCAAGTTTCGAAAGCCCTAACAGAAACTCATTTCCCCTCAGCTGGGACACAATTTGTTGCACAAGTGCCCAAACGTGACATGCGAGCCACAAACAGGTTACCCCTTAGTCTCTTGATGATAAATTTTTAACTGGCTGATGTTTTTTTTTGGTGTGTAAACAAATACAACAGGAATCCCAAGCATCCTAATTCAACCTAAAATCTGGGCTCCCAGCCCTGAAATGATGGAGCCCTCGGGCAAGGACCCTTCAAATAGCATGTAAATATCACTTCAGGGGAAGCTGTCCGTGCATATTGTGCCAGGACTGAGGTAAAGGCCAGGCGGAATTTTGCAGAACACCCCGTTTAACACAATTTAAACGTTTTTAATCCCTCCCAAGCGTTGGTGCCTCGCGCAACACAATCCCCAGGGTTTCCCCTGAAGGGAAAGTGCAACCGCGCTGGAGGGTCGGCTCATCTGATGGCTCAACCCTCGGGTTCGGTGTTAAAAAGGGCGATTTTGGGGTTTTTTCTCACACAAACGGGATGGATAAGGAGGGGCCTGAGGAACGGCCGCCCCGCCCGCCCAGCGCGGCCGGAAGCGGAACCCGGCGCCGGAAGCCCGGGCCGCCATCTTGGCTGGAGCCGCGGTGGCGCCGCAGCGGGAGGTGAGAGGAGAGAGGCGAGGGGGTCCCGGCCCTGCCCGCCTCATTCTGTGACGCTCCCTCCTGCCCTCCTGTCCTTTCTCCTGCCCTCGCTCGACCTCCGGCTGCAGGCAGGCGGGGCGTCCCGGCGGCGGAGCGGGTTGCTGCAGCGGGAGAGGTGAGTGTGGCCTGGGCCGGGGGCTGAGCCCTGAGGCGGCTCTTGGGGCTGGGCTGGGCTGAGGGGCCCTTTCCCTTTGCCCGCTCCTCTCCCCCGGCTGGCGTCGGGTTGTTTTCTTGCTTCGGGTGTTATCTAGGTGAGGAAATCCGTTTGCGGTCGCAGCTTCTGGAAATGCCGTTTGTTTTCGGCCTTGGAGATACCCAGTGTTCCTTCAGATAAAGTTCTGAGGGGTTGCAGAATCCCAGTCGCAGGGCTTAGTGCTGTGAAGCGTTTCAGCGTGGTCTTGCAGCCCACAGCGCTGTCGCAAGGCTTCAGATCAAATAACTGTGTTAACTTTTAAAGGATATTATTTAATCTACGTTTTAAAATCGAACATGTCTTCTTTCGAGGAAAAAAAAATCGTTTTGTTATCTCAAGAGATATAGCTTCAAGAATAAAAGCTGTACGTTTCAATGAGTGGTTTACAGTAATTCTGATAATAGGCAGGTTAAACACCTTTATTTTGAGATGGATTTGAATATTTGATCCTATACAGCTGGTGCTCAGGGTTGAAATAAATATTTAATAAATGGTGCCTAGCAATCTGTAATAAATGAATGGAAAGGGTTGTAGGGATTTAAGGTATATTTTGTGCTGGTATCATACTGTGAGCATTGTGTTTCCTCTGTAGACAAGCTATTTGGAAAATCTACTTTTTGTTTTTGCTTTAATCTCTGTTTATAAAGCTAAGTCTTGCTGTATTTCTGGGAGGAAAGTGAGTTAAGTAGCAGTTCTTAATTGGTGTGTGTTCTTTAGGTACATAGTAAGGGCTAATACTCTCTTTGTCTGGTTGAGCAGCATGGAATTTCCTTTCTTCACACGGAGCTGTCTCACTTTGGATGAGGTCTTTGTTTCTCTGGAAGAGAATAATCTGGCTCAGGAGCTCCTTTCTGTAAATTCAACTGACTCTTGAGCAGGAGGCAGATTTAATTTAAAATCCTTGGCCTCAAAAGTCAGCAATGAGGTTATTATCGTTTTGTTTTTCCTTATCTCTAGTAGCTGGATGTGGAGAAACACCAAGGGAATGTAAATCATGGGCAAATAGGTATTCAAATCAAAGAGGGATGTAAAATCAAATAGGGATTATAAAGTTAAGCCCCTTGAAACAGTGGCAAACAGATGTTTGTTCAGCCTGAAGACAGGGCTGGTTATTAAGAGTTCAAGGGGGTTTAAAGTGCAGGGTGTTTTCATGGTAGCAGTTGACACTGGTATTTAAGCAGTATTTTCCCTCTGTGGCAATAACCAGTCTCTTGACAGTGTGTTCCCTGGTGAAGGTTCTGCATGGTCCTTGCCACTTAAAATGATGGCTGTTTAATTTTTAATTAAAAAAAAAAGATAAAATCCTTTCCAAGTAGATTTTGCAGAAATCTGGAGCTGTGCTCAGCTCTAGGTCTGTCGAGATTGTGCTGAGATTGGGTTTATATCTGTACTTTTTTCAAAATTAGATGAGCAACAACAGTAATAAGAGAGCACCCACGACAGCAACACAGAGGCTGAAACAAGACTACCTTCGAATTAAGAAGGATCCAGTGCCTTACATCTGTGCAGAGCCCCTCCCATCCAATATCCTGGAATGGTAAGAATTGGGATCAGCTCCTCACACACTTGTGGAGAGAACAAGACTTTGCAGGTCGTCAAGTCAGACTCCCTCAATCCTACAGATTTTATGGGAATCTTGGGTTTGGGAGGTGGAGTATAGGACTTATACTGATTTTCATTTTCCTAGAGAAGCTGGGGTCTGACTGTGTCTTGCCTTTCATCCTGTTTACATTTCCTTCCCTGTCTTAGGCACTACGTTGTGAGGGGACCTGAAATGACTCCCTATGAAGGTAAAAGCATAGAGCTAAGTGTGCCTGTACTTTGTGTTGTGATTCCCTGAGGGACAGCATGCCTGTGAACAGCTCTAAAAACTGTTAGTGCAGTTTCAGTGCTGTCAGTGGATTGTGTGATGGATTGAGGTAGTGGTACTACTGGCTTAGTAATTGTTCTGTTATCAAGGATGCTAACAACCCCACCTTTAGGTTAAACTGAAGGCAGATCAATTCCTGTTGAGTAATTGCTGAAGGTCTTAGGAGCAGTAAACTCACTTTATATAGTCAAAGATAATTTCAAAAGGCTTTGTTACCACATAAATGGTATCAGTGACCTGAGACATTGGTTCTCTTAATTTCTCTGGAGAAAGTAAGGAATGTAAAGCTTCTTAATTGGTTGTCACATAGTTCACAGTGTCTTCTGGAGCCTCTCAGAAAAAGCTTTTTGAAATCAGATTCTTCATAGGCTTGTGTTTGCAGTTACCTGTGTTCCTGGAAAGCCAACCCCTTTATGTTGTATTAAATGCCACTTTGGTTTTCCTTAAGTGTGTGATGGACTTCACATCAAGTACTGTTTGTAATGTGTGTGGGAGAGAATTGTCCCCAAATTCAGTCCCATTATTCCTGTGGTTTAGGGGCACAAGATGATGAGCTTGGTATCTTTAGTGAGAGGGGGAGAAGGAGGAAGGAGACAGGGGTTTTATTTGGCCCATTTTGTGTAGCAGTTTAGGACTTCATCTTCATGCAAAATAAGTAATTCATCTCTTTATGTAATGCAGGTGGCTATTATCATGGGAAACTAATATTCCCCAGAGAATTTCCTTTTAAACCTCCTAGTATTTATATGATTACACCTAATGGAAGGTTTAAGTGTAATACAAGGTAAGGATCTTCTTCTAACACCTAAACAATTAACACCATTTTAGCAACATGTAGAATATCTAACAATTTCAGTGGCAAAAAGAAAACACACTGCCTGTCTTCTTTTTGAAGGTTGTGTCTTTCCATCACTGATTTCCACCCGGATACATGGAATCCAGCTTGGTCAGTCTCAACGATCTTGACGGGCCTTCTTAGTTTTATGGTGGAAAAGGGCCCCACACTGGGCAGCATAGAGACATCAGAGTTCACAGTAAGCTCCAGACTCTGCCATGTGTCTTTTTGTCAGCTTAGGGGGTGTTGAACATCACCTCAAACAACAGCAGCAGTTGGTATTTTGATACCTGAGAAATTAAGATATTCTTTCCTACTACAGATGATGGGCAGAGGAATCAAGTCACTGTAGGTCACGTGGGGTTGGGGAGAGGATTTCTTAGCAAACTTAAGATCCCTCAAGTGAAGACTTGAGAACATGACTTATCTTTAGAAATGCTGATGGGCAGAGGAATCAAGTCACTGTAGGTCGCGTGGGGTTGGGCAGAGGATTTCTTAGCAAACTTAAGTGAATCAAGTGAAGACTTGAGAACATGACTCATCTTTAGAAATGTTTGTTGTAGTGGTTAATATTTACAAGTATGAAGTTGTGTTAGAAACTAGTTGGCTAGTGTTTTGCTCTGTTTTTGTGGGAAATCATCAGGTGTTGAATTAAAGTGTATTAACTTGGTTTATGTATGTGCAGCTGCTGATAACTTCTGTTTCCTCCACAGAAAAGGCAGCTGGCAGCACAAAGCTTAGCATTTAACCTAAAAGATAAAGTCTTTTGTGAGCTCTTCCCTGAAGTGGTGGAGGTAAGGAAATTTATTTGTGAAATAATCTGCTTTTCTGTAGTTTTTCAACGTCTGTGTGCAGGTCTGTAGCCTTATTGTCTATAAAGTCCTCATTGTTTTGGACTTTCCCCAGGTAGTAGCTAATTTTGCTAATCTTGGAAGCCTTTTAAAAGGTACTTTTGCTATGTGTAACAGTTGCAAACTTGAATCTTGAAATGGAATTACTTTTCTGCTGCATGAAGGTTGTCTAGAAATGTCTCAAATTGGCTCTTTCC